CTCCATTTGAACTCCTCCTGGCAGGAGAACCATGTGTCGTTTCCTCCCCCCCCCCCGTGCCCACTAGCCAGCCCTCTAGCTTGCCTGCTGAGAGGAAGAGCCCCAGAAGAAGAGCCTGGCGTGGCTTCATGGCGCTCCGTGGAACCTGCCCAGGTGCCCCCGGTTTAGGCTCCCTTGGCTTATATACGGTTGCCTCCCTGGCCAAGCCCAACGAGAGAGGGGCAGAACGGCCTCTCCTCCGGCTTTCTGAGAAAAGGTCTGAGGTCTTCATCAACAGAGTCTCCCCCCCCCCACTGGGTGGCAGGCCTCCCTCCCCCAAATCGGGTTGAACAAGCCACCCTTTGTCACTGGGCACTTTTGTCTTGATATCACCAGAGCTGTCAGGTCATCACAGGGCGGAAGGGGACGGAGAGCAGTGCCACGGAGGAGGAGGAGGCCGGTCCACTGGCCCGATTCATGATGGATGGATTCTTTCTTGCAGAGCCTGTACTTCCTCTGCTTCTGGGAGAAGGCGGACGCCCGACGGGGAGACCAGGAAGAGCCCAGAGCGAGACCCGAGGAGGCTGTCCCTGAGGAAGAGGGGCTTCCGAGCCCGGCTGTTGCTGCCAAGGCCAGGTGTGGGAGCAGGTCCTCCTCCTGGAGGCCAGGTGGAACAGGAGGCCTGCTGCAACTTGGGCACGGAGGTCTGGGTTCAAGGCAAGGTTATGGGGACCTAAAGGGTTGCTGCACCTCACTTAGATGTGTTCCTGATTAAGCACCTTCTGTTTCTTTCTTTTGGACTCCTGAAACAGACACAGACAGGCAGTCAGGCAGGCACGCACACGCACGCACACGCACACACACGCACGCACGCACGCACGCACACACACACACACACACACACACATGTTTGGTTGTGCTTTACCCTCAGTATGAAGTACAACCTCAACAAGGAAAAGTCTAGCATTAAGAGAGCATCCGTTGGGCTTCTTTCTGGATTGCTTTCAACATGCGGCCTGGATCCGTTGGCAGCAATAGATGGAAAGATAATTAGATGGATCTAGTACTGTATTTCTCTACCTCCCTGGCTCTCTAAGGAACTGTGTTTCCTCACAGATTTATATTCCTAGGCTCTACTTCCTTCCCACTTCTTCTCCAAGGGACTGTTGTTCTTCCTTTGTCCTAAAAAAAAATGCGCCCGCAGGATGTCTTCATAATGACCGCATGTGGGAACAGCGTTCGTTTTCTTTGACTAAGCCTGGCTGTGCCAAAGGGCTGCATTCTGCTAGGATAAATGCTCAGTAATTTCCTCTGCCTCTGAGCTGCAAGGCGTGATTAAAGTCCTGGAGAGGCATTATTTCACAAGCTCATTTTGTTGGATTTGCTTTTTAATGATCTCTCATGATTTTTTTATTCCTGCAACTTTTTTTTCTCATTTTGGAAGGAGTGTGTCTGAGTCGGAGGGGACAACCTCAGGTGCGCTGGCCTAATCGGTCCAGGGAGTCATCCTGATTTGGCCTGTGAAGGGATGAAGGGCACCTGGCCCACTCCTCAAACCCTCCCAGCTCCTGGAAAAGCCGCCTCATGGGCACAGCCCTGCTTCCCCACTGAGGAAGGAGCCAAGCGAGGAGGCAAGGTCTCCTGCCCTTCCCAGTTGGAGACCAGAGAAGGGCCAGGAGAGACCACTTCGACCGGAGACAGCACAGGCCCCACCGTGCCTTGCAGCCCCTGCTCCTCTTGTGCTTCCAGTTTGCTTTCAAGGCACTGCCTCGGGGACGGAAGGCCTGCCCATCGCGGATGCACAGCATATTAAACTCACGTCCCAACCTTCCTCTGAAACCGAGGCTCTTGTGGCTGGACACGGACCTCTCTCAAAGGAGAGGAAGGATCCTTTCAGCTGCCTTAGCCTCTAGGGAACGTGTCCGGCCAAACCGCCTCTTTCATCAGAAACCTGGCTGGAATTCAGTAGCCCACATGCCACTTCCGGAGATCAAGGTCTTCCTCTCCTTAGAGAAACTGTTTTGTGCCTGATTTCACTTTTCCAGCATGAGGGCGTTGCTGCCTTAGCCTCTAGGGAACGTGTCCGGCCGAACCGCCTCTGTCATCAGAGGTCCCAGGTTTATTCTTCCCTTTGTTGATAAGGGAATCCTGGCACTCTTACGTGCACCCCTCACTCCCCCAGCATGTTCCACACCCATTGTGCGGCGTTGCGTCCCAGGTTTATTCTTCCCTTTGTTGATAAGGGAATCCTGGCACTCTTACGTGCACCGCCCTCATTCCCCCAGCACGTTCCCCTGTTCCACAGCCATTGTGCAGCTGGTGGTGAGATTGGTCGCACAGCTGGGCATGCAACGGGCGGGTTGCTAGAGCCCTCGAGACATTCACGCCGTTTCCCTCCTGTTCCGCATCCAAGCCAAAGGGTGCCAGCCTTGGCCTTTTAGTTTCAGGTAGAGACTCTCGTGAGGTTCTGTGCCTGGAGCTGAAAAAGTGGATGAAAGCATCGCTGGGGCCCTCCTGGTCCTGCTCGGGTGCTCCCGCCTTCGTCCACTTCCTACCTGCCATTGGGTGCTGTTGACCGGGGACTCTGCCTGGTGCTTGTGCCGCTCACAGGGAGACCCAAAGCATCAGGGAGGCTGTGCTCCGGCCACCTGCTTGTGGCGAGAGGCGGTCCCTGCCCGGAAGGCTGCCTGTCGGGCAAAGAAGCCTCCTTCTGTTTTTTTGGGAGATCTCCCTGGGAGAGAGGCGGATTCCAGGCCTGGTTTCTCAGGCACCTGAGCCAGGGAGGAATCTGAGGCTCAGGTATCCAGAAAGAGAAAACTGTTGAAGGATGGTGGGCAGAGGTTTCTTGTTCCAGCGATGCAGGCACTTGGAATGGGAGGATGGGGCCGAAAAGCTTGGGGAAGACAGTCCCCACACATCCCCGCCAAGCCAAAGTTGCCTCACGGGCAGATGCTGGCTGCCCCTCCTGGGCCCGTGTTAACAGGAGAGGCCCAGAGAACCAAGCGCCCCATCACTTTTGAAAGAAAGCGCCGTTCTCTGGTTATTGCGCAGCTGCTACTGTCGGGGACCTGCTGCCAAGGGGCCTCCGAGGTGTGAGTCTCCCTGCGTGGAGGGGACAGGCTGGTGCCCTCTAGGGGTCTCCGAGAACATGACTAAGGCATCATCCTAACAGCTGACCCTGAGGCACATCATGCCGCCTCTAACCTTGCAAGTAGCATCTGCACAAGAAGTTGTGCTTTGCTGAGAGTTGTGTGAGTGTGTGTGTGTGAATGTGTGTGTGTGACATGGCCTCCGCGCAAGTAGCATCTGCACAAGAAGTTGTGCTGTGCTGAGAATTGTGTGAGTGTGCGTGACAGGGCCTCTGTTGTACATCATCCTTATGGATTAATGATCTCCAAAAAGTCACCTCATTCTTCTGAGGTTGTTATTTTTCGTCTCCATGTTCGATTGCAATCCTCTTTTGCACTAATTTTTTTAAAAGCTCAGTTCTGGCCACTAGAGGGTGGAAAGGGACTTTTTCAGTTAAATAAATGAGAATACTTGCGAGCCATCAAGTCCACTCTGACTGAACGGTGAGAACTTGCCGCCCTGGCCGGCTTTTCTCCCGGGAGGCACGCAGCCGGGAATCGAACTCCCAACCTCTGGCTTCCCAGCCAGAGGCCTAAACCCCCGAGCAATCCAGCCCTCCTCATTTTGTTTAAGAAGAGGGGCCCTGAGGTGGTAATGGTTTCTGTGGCTTGACCGAGACATGAGTGGCTCCTGGGTCTCCGGAGATTCCCCACCAGAGCCTCCCCACGTAGCCCATCAGCCCCATGACCTTGCCTCCCCCCCCAGCCCTTTCTGGGGCTCACCACGGATGGCTGGAGGGGCAGGTGAGCAGCAGCCCAAGCTGAGCATCAGCTGAAACAGGAAAGTAGGAACCGGGAGGTGGCTTCTCCCACCCCACCCCGACTTCACCGCTCCCTTCTTTGGCTTCTCTGGCCATACTGGGAGGTTGTGATGCTGCCGTTTTTCCATGGAGACGGAGCATCTGTTCTTACTTCTGCTGGGGGAGCAGAGGGGTTGGCCCCCTGCCCCCCCCGCCAGGTTAAGAGCAGATGGAGACACTCCCCCAAGGGGATGACTTACGACTGGCTGGCTAGCAAACCCACCCACCCCCATTTCTCATCCTCGGGGATGTTCTGAGTCTGGCCAGGCCAAGACTTCTTCGGGGGTCAGGGAGACTCCCTGGCGCCCTACGAAATCATGCAAAAACGAGAGCCCGTCCTCATTTTCCTGATGCCGTGACTGCAGATCCACCCATGCCCTTAGGCAGCGACAGACGGCAGAAGCCTCACACGCCATAGGGCCGAGGTGTGCCCTCAGCATGGCAAAGCTGAAGAGGGTTGATACCCCAAGGAGGTGGCTGGCGATGGGGGTGGGCGGGGATGCCACGACGAACCCCACAAGGGGACCCGCCAGACAGGTCGATAGAGGGTTTCTTAAACCCCCCCAGGCAGGGATTCCTTGGCTCCGTCTTGGATTTCCCCTCTCTCCGGATGGCCACCCCCGGGACAGCGGGAGGTGAGAAACCACAAGAGGCCGTGGGTCGACTCCTCGGGGGCCCCCAGGACAACAGGAAGTGAGGAAAATCACAAGAGGCTGTGGGTCCATTTTTCGGGGGGGGGGCTCGTGGTGTCAAGGATTCCAACCCCCTTTGGGCCTGCTGATTATTCAGAAAGGCCAACATGCGTTCCTTTGTCCCAGGTGGCAAGTTTAAAGCTTTGTGCCCCAAAGCATGTCGAATTTGCTAAGCCCGGAGGCAAGAGACCGGAACGGACGGAGGGTGGGTCTCCAAAGGCCAGCTACCAGGGTGCCGGCGTCTCCATCCTTTGAGCTTTTTCAAAATGCGGGAAGCGGCCCCTTCTGCTTAGGCCCCTGGACGTGCGCAAAGCAAGGGGAGAGGAAGCGAGGAATCCCAAGACGATCGCAAGGAGGAGCCGATCGCAAGGAGGAGCCACAAAACCACAGGAGTCGGGGGGTCTGCTGTGCAAAGGGAGAGTTTTACTGCAAAAGTACGAAAGGGGCTCCAAGAGCTGAAAGCGTCGTCACCTCCTTGCAAGCTGGTGGTGCGTCAAAAGAGGGCTGGGCCCCCCCAGGGCCCCTCGGAGGCTCTGCAGGATCGAGGCGGCACCTGCGGACAGTCAAAGAGGGAAAGCGGGTTGAGCCAGGACCGGCCGCGGCAGAGGAGGGGGTTTATCACAGGACCCGGACTGTCTTTCCCATGGCTTGTTCCAAGTGGGAACTCCTTGGGCAGGGCCCCCCCTTTAACTCCGTTGAGAGCCCCTTCAACATCAGAGCCCCACTGACAGTCTGCTAAGAAACCAAATCAATACAGAACACAAAAAAACATTGTTCAGGCCCTGCCATCTGGTCTAAGTGGCTCCTTCGCAGTCCTCACTGCAATTCTCTTTGTGACTTTTGGGGAGGACGTGAGGTGTTCCCTCACCCATCCACGGCACACACACAAAGGTAGTGGGCGGCTCCTCATCCCCCTGCAGCTTCAGAGCAGGATTGGACCCTGTTGCAGCCACAGGCAGTGGAAACTACGCACGGGGCTAAAAGTGCGGTAAGACCCCTATATCTATGGGGGATTGGTTCCAAATCCTCCGCGGATGCTGAAACTGTGGATAATAGCAAACACTATACATGGTACGGTTAAAGGGGGGGGGGAAATCAAAACTACATATTTTCACCATGTGATATCAAAACTGCGAGGCCAGGGGCCAAGCAAGACAAGGAAGGAGGTGCAGATGGAAGGAGGGGATTTTTCTCCACTTTCCCTCCTCATTTGCTGACCAAGGCCTGAGAAAAAGGTCTCGGGCAGGGGCTGCTGAAACGCCCTGGCCTGGGAGGCAGCCCTCCGAAGACCCAGCGGGAGACCAAGATCCTCCCTGTGGCAAAAGCTGGAAAGGAGCAGCTGCTATTTTTGGAAACCAAGGAGACCTCAAGCAGTCCTTCAGGCAACCTGCTTAGCCTAACGTCTTCGTTGCTGTCGGCCGGTTGAACTGGTATTTCTGCCCATGAACTCACAGTGACCAAAGCCTCGGCTCTCAAACGAAACAGAGTCCTCCACACACTGCATGTTGAAGGGACTGTCCAGAAGTCATAATTATTTTTTTTTTAAAAAAAGACCTCTTTCACATCCAGCCTCTGGCAGGAGAAGAGACAACCAGCAAGAAGCCACATCTCAATGGCTGGGTTTCATGATGACTTCTGTTGCCGAGGGTGGCCTGTTTGGGGGTGTGTGGGGGTGTTTAGGTCCCTGAAGCGTTGCCGAGGGTGGCCTGTTTGGGGGTGTGGGTGTTTAGGTCCCTGACGTGAACTGTGCCCCCTCTGAGGCTGCTGGCCTGCCCCTGTCCGCATGACTCTTCCAAGGAGATGCCAGGCACCCACACTCCCCTTTGCCACCACATCCCAGACCCACCCATGCACACACTGCCTTTATTTTAATGGAATGTGGGGGATGATGTGTTTGACAGACATGTCCAGGGGGAGCCAATCCTGCTGCTTTCTGGAGCGGCGGTCTCATCAGTAGGACCACCTCCAGGCACGCCAGGCTAAAGGAGTGCCTGTGGGGGTGGCCTGGCAGGGAACACCGATAACGCGCCCAGCATCTCTGTCCACGGAGGAGCCGTTCGCTCCGAAAGAGCCTCCCGGTTCCCTCTGGAGCCCTCTCTCCCCTTGCCCCCGAGCCTTGCCCGAAGAGCATGCACAGGGCCCGCTTTCACTCACCTCAGGGCCCAGGTTCCATGCAGATGTTCTTGCCACACCCATTTCTGCAGCATTTCCAGGTGCCCTTGCACTGCGTGTCGCTTTGGCACATCTCCAGACAGATCCCCAGCTGGGGGATGCCTCCGAGCATGACACTGGGGCAGGAGCCAGGTTTCTCTGCAAAAGGAAGAAAGGCCGGGAGTGAGCACGGCAGACCCACCCGCCCTGCCCAGCCAGCTGCTGAGCGATGCCCTGCGACCCAAGTACCCTTGGGCAGGGAATGGATCTGGGCAGCCCAGGCATTCGGCTGCTGGTGGGGGTGGCGGTGGGGCAGGTGGGGGGAAGGCAGGCAAGCAAAAGAGGTTAAGCGAGGAGGCCCCAGGATGTCGAATGTCCCGAGTGCTCACACGAAGGGGTTCAAGCATAGTGTAAAACAAACCCACACACAGATCATGAATGGCATTCTCCCTTACCTGCGCTAGCTGTTGCAACAGTATTCACTTAGTCTTGGCAAAACCTTAAGAATGTAACATATATGTAGAATAAATTAAAAATGCTTATAAACATTTGTACCTGACATAAGACTTGTGTGTTTGACAGACGTAACATATTCTTATCAGACGTAGCCACAGACAAGTTGCCAGACTAGCAAAAAAGCAGACTCCTAAAAGACAACGCCTAACAGACTCTGCAGGATATTTCTAACAGAAGACTCAGGGTCACTTCTTTTTCTATCTATTTCTCTAGCAGTTAACCCTCTGAACACCCACTGGTGAACAACAGGCAGAATCGGACTGGTTACACAAGTTCCAACCTGTTCAACGCCCAGCCCAAGCCTTCTTGCATACCTAGGCATACATGCTGGGTTGCATAACTATTGCCCTGTTTGCCTGAAAACAAGACCTAACCTGAAAATAAGCCCTAGTAGGATTTTTTATATATTGTCCCCCTGCTTATTTAACTTATATGCAGAATACATCATGAGAAAGGCTGGACTGGAGGAATCATAAGCTGGAATAAAGATTTCCGGAAGAAATATCAACAACCTCCGATATGCAGATGATACCACTCTGATGGCAGAAAGTGAGGAGGAATTAAAGAACCTCTTAGTGAGGGTGAAAGAGGAGAGTGCAAAAATTGTGTGAGGCTCAACATCAAAAAAACTAAGATCATGGCCACTGGCCCATCACCTCATGGCAAATAGAAGGGGAAGATATGGAGGCAGTGACAGATTATGCTTTCTTGGGCTCCATGATCATTGCAGATGGTGACAGCAGCCATGAAATTAAGAGATGCCTGCTTCTTGGGAGGAAAGCCATGACAAACCTAGACTGCATTTTAAAAAGCAGAGACATCATGTTGCTGACAAAAGTCCACATAAGTCAAAGCTATGGTTTTTCCTGTAGTGATGTATGGAAGTGAGAGCTGGACCATAAAGAAAGCTGACTACCGAAGAATTGATGCTTTTGAATTGTGGTGCTGGAGGAGACTCTTGAGAGTCCCCTGGACTGCAG